TGATACACTTTTGCCAACTCAATCTATATGATCTTTTTGTACAATTTTTTTATTTGTATATCATCTTTTTTTTTTTTTTCTATGCAAAACTTCATACCTTATTATTAGTGGTAAGTTACACTAACCTCCTTTGAGTGTAGAAAAAATATAACATGTTTCACAATTTTAATATAATTATATTAACATTCCTTTTACGAGACCAGTGTTGGGTTGGCAGGCCAACAACCTTGTGTGCTAACCGGAATACGCATGTCCAATCTATGGTAGGGGTGCAACTTAGGCGGGCTTAACCCAAGCAACCTAAATCTAATAAGAATTTTTTTAAGGCTTGGAAAAGATATTTTCAAATTTGGTACGAGTTTAGGCAAAAATTCAGAAGTCTGAATTAAATTTGGGCAGGCTTAGGCAAAGACGTCAAACAACCCGAGCAACCCGAAACCAAAATTATATATATATATATACAAAAAGAATAAATATACATATAAATTATTAGTCATTACGTGATATTAAAGTAATTCAGATTATTAAATTATATTAAATATTTATTATATATACAAATAACATAAAATCTTACCTTTTTTTTTTCACTCATAAATTGTAAAGACTACTATAGCGACATTTCTCTTACATTATATAAATTATTTTTTTTGGGATAGAATTAATGATTTTCTATTTAAAAAAAATGTAAATAGAGTCAATTTTTAATAATTTAATAATATAGCTGCAAAAAAAAATAATAAATAAATAACTGAAATTCATTTATAATTTGGGCAACTCGGGCAATTCGGTTTTAACTCGGGTCGGGCTTGAGCAAGCAGCCACGAGTTACAATTCCGGCCTAGGAGGGCCTGGTCAGGTCTCAGCCCAACTTGGGCTGGGCTTGGACAACCTCCCAACCCGACCGAACCCGACCGATTTGCACCCCTAATCTATGGTCGATTGGAGACAAAACTTAGGCAAACCAAAAATAAAAATAAATAAAAAAACAAATTTTAAATAAATAATGTTATATAAATAAAAAAAATTCATACATAATGATGTGATTCATTAAGAACCATTTATTTCAAAACAAAATAACATTTTTTTGGATAAATAAAAAAGCACCATTAAATATGCATTTATTTACAATAATGATATTACCACATCATTCTTGTGAAATTTTTTGTATAAATTGAGAAATGCCCCCTCCGCCATTTCATCACCCCCAATTGCACCTCTAATGAGGTAACAAATAATACCAACCAATCAACTCTTTTTAAATTCTTCTCTCCTTTCAAAATTGTTTGCCACCTTATTAGAGGTGTAATCGGGAGTGATGAAATGGAGAGATGTAGCAAAATTCATATAAATTTTATGTATGGATAAAATTTTCCATTTTAAATAGTTAGTACTGATTGTGGGGAAACATTACCATCAAATTCTAGGGGAAAAAAATAACGTCTTAAGGAGGGTGATAGATAACCAATGGAATAAACGCGCATCTCCAGGTAAACTTGCAAATGAATAGACCAATCCCCTTTTATAGATGATCAGTAATTGGTAACTTTGGTTCAAGCAATACCACAACACAAGTTTTGCCTTCCAATCTAGAAACGCACATATAATCTCGTAAGTCCCCATCACAAGCTATTAAAATCAAATCACCATCCTCGTCTTTATACTTGACATGAAAAGTTCCAGCCTCTAGGTTTAACCTCTCCGCCACTTCTTGCTGCAACTCTATGAGCCGCGATGACAAAGACAGACGAAATTTAATTGCGTTACCTTCTGCATATTTTTCTTTTATAGTCACAACATTGGCATCTTGCATCGTTGTATCATGTGGCTCGGTGTGAACAATACTAGCTGAGGGTTGAGCAAAAGGAAGATCATCAAGATTCAATTGTGAGCTTTGTTCTAGATTAACACACGGAGCCCATTCATTAGTCTGAGAGCAACCAGACTTATATATATTGCGACGTGGCCACCTATCAATACCATATTCTCTACATGCACGCTTCAACGTAGATTTGCTAACTGTGAAAGGAAGAATCCAAATAATAGATATTACTTTATATTTGTTTATATAATAATCCATCTAGTTGAAATAACTACCAAGATCACAAGCAACATTATATTTTATTTTATGAAAGTGCAAGCATACCTTGGAGATTTTCCACAGCATCCTTGAGTTTCATTTTTGAAGTTTGTAGGATATTGTCACGATCCAAACCGGCCCCTATAGATTTAGTGTCGTAACTAACCAGTAATCCATAGATTACCTACAGCCTCAAAGACAAAATTTCAAAATAATTAATTTTATCGGAGCCTGAAACGGAAGCAAAACAAAAATGATGATGTCCATTGAGCTGTGCGTACATGATCAACTGCAGTAATTAAAACATTCTTAACACACTTTCATATATCACTACAAGAAATTAATTTTTTAGAGACTAATATTTAGGAACTAGTTGAATTTGGTCACTAAAAATGATCTTTCAGGGACAAATTTAAACATATAATAATTTACTTATGAGATTGTAAAATTAACTGTTAAGATTCTCGCTTAATATTTTTTGAGACCAATAAATTTGATTGCTAATACATTATTAACATCTTGAGGGACCAAAAGTAATGAAAAATTTGCAAAACTCCACCAGATGAAATACATGCTTTGTTCACGCTTCATTCACTTTTACAAATCCACGATGCGAAACAACTCCGTTGCAAATCTTCACTCTATCCATCACATATCATCTCTCTCTTCGCTCTCTCTATCGCAGATCTTCACTCAAAGTCAAATTTGAGATCTACAAGCTTCAATCCACAGTAAATCTCTGTTCTTCAAATTTGTTGCAGATTTGGTGAGTCTCTCTCTCAACCTCTCTCTGCTTATACATACATACATATATATGTAGATCTATGAAGAACACAATAAGTAGTTCACGTATTGTTTGATTGGACATATTAAAATTGCTATATACTACATATTATTATCGATTGAGCTCTCATTATCATCTCGTATAAAATCTAGGATTTCTTTCGCTTTCTACATCTCAATCTCTTGTTCTTCTTCTCTGTCTATTCGATTTGATCATCTCTCTTCATTTGAGTGATTTAGAATCTGAAGAGCACAAAATACCTATTCGACTAATTGAACGCTAAATCCGAGGCACTTGTTCTGCATTTTTTTTTGTGCTTTGGGATTGGAAATTTATGTGCCAAATTTTTTTTTAAAAAAAGTTTTTCAAATAATCTAGGTAGGTGCTTTTTTCTTCCTAGCTAAACTGTAGCAATCTGGATTTGCATTTGTTTTCAATAGTTTGTATTTTAATTCAACTTCAGAATTGATTTGATTTGTATTTGATTGTTTTGTATTCTAATTCATTCCAGAAATGATTGGATTTTGTTGTTTATCAATGTACGGGCTTTTAGATTTCTTTTAGTTCAATTTGGATTTGACTGATTTGGATCTGGAGGTAAAGTTTTATTTCACTCTTCCATGGTTTCTATCAATCCATACTTTGCTATTGCTTGCTACTTCATATCACCTAATTAGAAGTGATTGCGTAATTAGGTGCACAATGTATAAGTGAGCAATACTACATTAGGCAAAATAATCTTGTTATGAAATTAATTTTGTAGAGTGTTTATGCGTTTGGATCCGTGGTTTTATTTTTATCAATGGAAGACACAAGTTTAAGCTCATATACACCCACACTCATCATTCCCCCCTGCTACCTTGTTGATTGTTTGATGTTTGAGGATCAAAACAAAGGTTAAAAGCCCTCCTAAATACTTTCCCTAGCAGAGGCTTGTTTCAAGAATACCAGTAAACACATGTAAGGATTCCCACATGAAATTGTGCTGGTTTCTTAATAAAAATATATCAATCTGGTTGAGATATGTTTGCTAAGCTATGATGGAGCTTCTCCCCCTTAGCTTGGTTCTTGGTGTTCCATTCCTTGTAATCCGTTTGTTCTTATTATTTTCTAGTGATAGAATTTCAATTTCCTTTGCCAATGAAAATTAAAATTAATATATATATATATATATATATATATTTGTTTTGGGAGGTAGATTAAAAACTAATTTTTTAACTTTTAAAAAATATTACTTTAATCTCTTTGCCAAAAAAAGGCCTATGATATGAAAAAGGCATTAAGAGAAGCTAACATATATTGAACAGGATTGTTATCATGCAATGATTTTTGAGTGGGTTTACAAACCTAGAACACAACACCAGAATTTTGGAAAGTGCAAAGAGCAATAGTAAAGTAAGTTCCTTTGCTTATAAATAGCTTCTCAAATATGTTGTATTTTGGAATATCACATTTCTGCGTCTCAATTTATCTCTTGGTTGTTGAGCACTTAGAAAGGATGAACGGCTTTAGGGCTATTTTTGGAAGTCTTGTCCTACCTGATTCAATATCATACCCTATAGAATCCTTTTCTAATCCCATCTTTGGGTTAGACCTACCAAGGAATTGTAAGATGATTGCAAGTGATATTGGGAACATTGGGTAATTTCTATTGTTATGTTTTAGATAGTATTTTATATTTCTTGGTGAAGATTAGTGATCTTGTATTTGGACATCATGTAGTCATCTAATGTAGAGTTTAGAAGCTACAACTATTTTGTATGTTTCAGATTATTTCTTTTTCGTCTTCTAACAGTTCAAAACTTAATTAGATCGTTGAAGGCAATATCGAGTTTTAATACTTTTGGTTGGGTATATTTTGTTTAATCTGAGCTAAAAATTTGGAAATAAGGTCTTAATGAAGGAAAGATCTCAGGTGCAGAGTCTGGCTGTTCCCTCCAAGTTGACATTTTTGTGTTCAGCGGCCCTTGAAGGTTTTTGGTGGTGGAGTGTCTTATAGCCATTTCGAACTAATGTATATTCTGCAAGGTAAGTTGCTAGATGGTTGGTGATTCTCAATTCATTCTCTATTCTGCTCCTACCTTTCAGGATATTTTTAGTTTTCATTCGCATGTTTTCTACCCTTCACATTTGGGGAAGTTCACTTTTTCTGACAGTGTGGCTTCAGAGTAAGAAGAGAAACAAGTTTTTGGTGAATATTTTCAAATTTTTTATGTTGTTCCATGTAAAGTTGTATTGAATATGGACATGATGATGTTAACCTCTTGTTTTCCTGAGAATTATTTTAACCATGGCCCCAATTGGTATGAAGTGCTTTAAGAATAGCTCTGTGACTACCCAAAGGAGATTGGGTTAATGGCTTTTGCCTTAAAGCTTTTGCTACTTAAGCACTTTAAGAATAGCACCGCTGACTTTGAGACTGTTAGGGATATCAAAGAGAACCTTTACTACTTAAGGTGAAGAAATAACATTATAGTTTGGTATGCTTTTTTGGGATTTGTTTCATTACAATTCATTAAATTTGTTTTCCTGCAGTTATGATTACAATAGGGAATATCAATTGGGACTTGAGACTACCATCCTTGTTAAGAATTATACTATAAGTTTATTCTCTTATCTATCTGTGTAATTAAATAGAATCTTCTAGGAATTGTTCAACTTACTTTCCTTTTGGGCATGGTGTGACTATGATTGTGACATATAAAATATCCCAAGCTGGGAGGTTTAAAGCAATTAATAGCAATGGTTGCTTTTTTTTTTTTTTTAAATTATCTCATAGTAGTTTCATATATGGTGCCTTCATGCGGAATATTTTAAAAGTAGTTGAAAATATGTACTTATGTGTACTTACTATTTAACTCATGGATTTTTGTCTCATATTTCTCTTTGGTTTCTTCATTTTGTAGGAAATTAACGCACAGTTTATATATATATATATATATGACATAGGTTATACTTTTCCGTATTAAAATTTGTACGTATTTTTTGTTAATTTATTAAGAAAAGTTGATTTAATCAACTGCCAGATGGAAGGGTCATCAGTAATTTCAATGAGCATTGAAAGAGCTCTCTCTCTCTCTCTCTCTCTCTCTCTCAATATTAATGGTTGGAATTGTTGCTAATATATCTTTTGGTACTTGCTTAGAATTCTATAAATGATAAACAACTAGAAATTTCAGCGATGTTAGCTATCTCACTGAACTTTCCTGTCATTTTATTTGTGTTTCTTCTTTTCAACACTGAAGAAGCTATGGGATTGTTATTCAATGTGTACACAATTCAAGCTTGGTTGAGAGTATCTACTGGCCTACTAGTAATATCGTTGTTTGATTTACCTAGCAGTGTGAGTTTAGATCTGCCAAGTGAATTACTAGTTTAGTATTATGGATGAAAAATCAATTAGATTGTTTGGGGCATTTTTTAAACAGAGGATTACTGGTCATTATATGCTGTTGCTGGTGGAATTAGGACGGTTATTGGGTGGGCCTGGTTGTTATTGCTTGGTTCACGTGCAAATCAAATGATGAAATTTGCGGTTCACATATTGACTACTTATCTCGCTGTGATTAGTGTGTTGTGTTTTTGGGGCGAACAATTTTTCTGGGGTGTTGCTTTTGCTGTTAGAGCTGCATTGCAGTTGTTGTATATCATATACTTTATAGACAGGTGTAGACACCCCATTTTTGACCGACCTTGAGACTCAGACGTCACCAGTTAAGCACTTGGTGATATTGCATAATGTGCTTGTTCAGAAGTTTCAGAGTTGCGGCCGTGAGCCCCGCCTCCGGACTTCCGAACCCTCTTCTGTGCCTTGTCTCGGTTTGCGAATCAGACTCGGTTTTCTTTGCTTCTTTTCCTGAGGGAAGGGAGGGGTCCCGTAGACCATCTCTCAATGTCCGTAGGCTACATTTGGTGGCCGTAGGCCATTTTTCCCATTTCGGAGTCCGGTTCCCGGTTTTCGGAGCCGTCAGGCCGTGTGCCTCGATTCGGGACAGCTTAACCATCTCCTTTTGCTTCGGTTTTTGGCATACATCTTATTTTCTCCCTTTTGAGGGACACTGGGGTCCGAGAAACCCACTTCGTGGCCGAATGCCATTTTCGGTGCTTAACAGCCCATTTTCGGGACCTCGAACTGCGCGTTTTGGTCCCCGAACATTCGTTTTGCAACGGTTTTCATTCATTTTTGGCAGGTACCTCTGTTTTATCACCGGGGAGGTCACTGAAGGGTGGGAGGCCAGCAATTGTATAAAGACTTGAATGACTCTC